GGTGGATTTAGGATTTAAGCATTTTTTATGACCAGGTTTGAAATGAATAGGTTAAGCCCTATGTCAAGTAGGATTGAACTTAAAATGACACATATATTATTACTGTATAATGCTGGCTCGGCCCATTCCCGACCGAGCCCAATATTTATCCACTTGAACAGCCTTAATCAATAGAAGTATGGATAATCACGAGTCGGTTTGGAGAATTTTTATAGTAATTCGTCCTCGCCCCATTACATATTGATGGCAGGAGACAAGTTAATTTTGTAAATTGAAGAATGAGATATTAATAAGAAATTATAGAAAATATAATATATTACGGATAATGATTTATATTTAATAAAAATTATAAGATATACGATAAAAAATTAATGAGTAAAAATTAATTTTATTATAATGAAAAAAACTAAAATTGTATATTAAATATATAAATATATTTTAAAAATATATTAGAGTCGGATAGAATAGCACGAAGGAAACAAAAACTGTTCCAATCCCATTTCTTCATCGAAGTGAAGAAAATTCATGCGAAGCGAGACAAGGAATATAAGAACGAAGCGTGCAAGGAAAAGGAAAAATATTAGAGACCCCAAGAACATTACCAAATTCTTGGAGCCCCTAGTATTGCTCGGGAAAAAATGACCATACCTAAATAGAAGTGAATGAGGTGGATGTGATTTGCCCATTAACCATAAAGAGGCAAAAAGTAAAATAAGGGAAATTTTAACATACACACCTTGAAAAGAGTGTACAATATGCACTCCTAATTATGTCATTTTCTTATTTAGTTAAAACATCTCAAATGATTTGCCATTAGAGCTGCCAAAGCCAAATTATAGCAGGTGCGCACAAAATTTGCTCTCCAATGATCTACTATAACTTTTGCCAAATTATAGCAATGCCATCTCTAATGCCAAATTTAACAATAGCTTTGGCAATTGCCAAACTTGTCAGCTCAACAACCAACTGATTGTGGATTTCCCACCAACAACAAACAACCAACCAACAACAAAAGAATACCAACAAAAATTTAAATTCCCTTCAAATTTCTACAACAAATTTTTACACATATTTTCAAAAATAATTGATACAACAAATATTTTTGGGGAAAAAATAGATCAGAAAATGAGGGGAAAAAATAAATGGCTATAGAAAAAAAATATTGAGAATAAATAAAGAAAAAAAATTGGAGGGATCGTCAAATACCAAGAAGTGAGAGATGCTTAGATTGTGAGAAAGAGATAGACTGATCAGTAAAGGGTTTCATCGGACTGATCTTGATCTTTGTTGGACTAATCTTTGTCAGAATGATAGATCCAATGAAGGGATAGAGAGCCATGGATGATTTAGGGTTTGTTTGTGCCTCATCATCTTCGTCTTCATCTTTGATTTTATGGACTTCGGGTTTCTCAAACGATTTAGGGTTTAGGATTTGAAGGGACATATAGGCATGGGTGATCAATGAAGGTGGGCTTCTCTGATTTTGTGGCTTTCAAGTTTCAATTGAATATTTAGGGTTGAGATTTGCCAAAATGACATGTGACTATTGGAGTACTATTGCTATAATTTGACAATTAGCTATTATTCATTGTCAAATTATAGCTTTGACAATGCTATTATAGCATTTGCTATTGAAGATGCTCTTATGACTATTTGTTTTTTTTTAGTTATAACTCATAAATTCTTTAATTATGTCTTATATTATATTTAAGAGTGGTATTATTAGCATCCCATCATTTCTTTAGGCCCCCACTTATAAATTTTGAAACCCTCAAAATTTCTTCCCCCCAAATAATACCAAAATTATCCTTGCGAAAACATTTCACCCATTGAATGCACACCCCCTACACTCCAAAAAAAACCACACCTCCAAAAAACCCTAACAAAACCCACCAAGAAAAAGAAGAGCCAATGTGATTGTTGTCTCTGTTGCCTTATCCACCATTGTCATAGTTAGTTTGCTCTCTCTCTCTCTCTCTTTATATATATACATAATTTCTTAATTTTGTCGTAATAATTTCTTCTTTTGCAAGAAAAAAGTTTATTATAATTGGTTTGATTGGTTTTGTTGGTAGATATTATAAAATTGTGAGTTCAGTAGAGAACTACACAACAATATTACCAAAGCTACACGATGAAAGAAGAACCTGATAATGGATTTGGGCTACTTCCGATAACTTCAGCGAGTGTTAAAATTTTTGACCATTTAATGTGTTAAGAAATTTTCATATTCAGACTAGTATTCCCGAACATTACTTATTTGTTTGGGAATACCTTCCTAAACAAATACGTAATGTTTGGGCCTATATTCCTGAACTTGGAAGCATGAAAACTTCTATAACCGTTAACAATTTTGACCGTTCAATGTGTTAAGAAATTTTCATGTTCAAACCTGTATTCCCGAACATTAAAATGTAAACTTCTGCAAGTATTAACAATTTTGACTATTCAATGTATTAAGAAATTTTCATGTTCGAACTTGTATTTCTGAACATTACTTATTTGTTCAGGAACGCCATCCAAAACAAATAAGTAATGTTCGGGCCTGTATTCCTCCAAAGGGTTGTTATTGTTACCGTCGGAATATTGCAATTGTTGGAGAAGTGTAGGTAGTCAAATGGTTGCTACTGTTATTGCGGAATATTGTCGTCAAGGGATTTTTAAGATTTTGAGGGTGGATGGGTTTTGAAAGTGGAATAGGTTTTGAAGGTGTGATTTGGAGAAGATGGATGGGTGGTAATGAAGGCGGGTGCTTTGCTTCCATAAACCTTAATTCATGATGTAGTAGTGGGGGTAATTGTAAGATGAAATGTCCCAAAATTAATAATGTCATTTTTAATAATTTTTTTTGAGATTATTATTGTAATAAAAAAAAGTTAAAAACTAATAAGTTCAAAATAATTGATGAGGGGCTCATAATAACACTCATAACACTTTTTATTTTTCTAATTATGATTTAAAAAAACATAAAACTATATCATTTTTTATAAACCAAGGTACATCTAATGCCGGGTATGTTTGGTTTGAGTTTGAGAGATGAGTTTTAGAGATAAAAAGTACGAAAAGTTGTTTGGTTTGGTTTTTTTCAACAGATGTTTTGAAAAATTATTTTGAGAGAGAGTTTTGAAAAAAGTGATTGATTTGATGTGTATGAGAGAGAGATTTGTTTGGAAAACTTGTAAACCAAACAAGTTTTCCAAACAAATCTCTCTCTCACACACATCAAATCAATCACTTTTTTCAAAACTCTCTCTCAAAATAATTTTTCAAAACATCTGTTGAAAAAAACCAAACCAAACAACTTTTCGTACTTTTTATCTCTAAAACACAGCTCTTAAACACAAACCAAACATACCCTATAATTTTTTTCAAGTAGGCCAAATGCCAATTGTGGATGGCTATATTTTCTAATTTGTGTTTATTGTGTTTTGTTTTTTGATTGTTGTCTATATATCAATTAAATTGGCTTAGTGAACCTTTGATAGATTGAAACTGAAAGTATAATAAAAAACTGGGTTATGATATTATTTTGGATCCACCATTTCTTTGGGCCCCCAGGTATAAATTTTGAAACCCTCAAAATTTCTTTCCCCTCCCCAAATAATACCAAAATTATCTTTATGAAAACATTCCACCCATTGAATGCACACCCCATACACTCTAAAAAAACCCTAACAAAACCCACCAAAAAAAAGAAGAGCCAATGTGATTGTTGTCTCTGTTGCCTTATCCACCATTGTCATAATTAGTTTGCGCTCTCTCTCTCTCTCTCTCTCTCTCTCTATATATATATATATATCTTTATATATATACATAATTTCTTAGTTTTGTCGTAATAATTTCTTCTCTTGCAAGAAAAAAGTTTATAATAATTGGTTTGATTGGTTTTGTTGGTAGATATTATAAAATTGTGAGTTCAGTAGAGAACTACACAACAATATTACCAAAGCTACGCGATGAAAGAAGAACCTGATAATGGATTTGGGCTACTTCCGATAACTTCTGCGAGTGTTAAAATTTTTGACCATTTAATGTGTTAAAAAATTTTCATATTCAGACCAGCATTCCCGAACATTACTTATTTGTTTGGAAATACTTTCCTAAACAAATACATAATGTTTGGGCCTATATTCCTGAACTTGAAAGCATGAAAACTTTTGTAACCGTTAACAATTTTGACCGTTCAATGTGTTAAGAAATTTTCATATTCGGACCTGTATTCCCGAACATTAAAATGTAAACTTCTGCAAGTGTTAACAATTTTGACTATTCAATGTATTAAGAAATTTTCATGTTCGAACTTGTATTTCTGAACATTACTTATTTGTTCGAGAACGCCATCCCAAACAAATAAGTAATGTTCGGACCTGTATTCCTCCAAAGGGTTGTCACTGTTACCGCTGGAATATTGCAATTGTCGGAAAAGTGTAGGTAGTCAAATAGTTGCTACTGTTATTGTCGGAATATTGCCGTCAAAGGGTTTTTAAGATTTTGAGGGTGGATAGGTTTTGAAAGTGGGATAGGTTTTGAAGGTGTGATTTGGAGAAGATGGATGGGTGGTGATGGAAGCGGGTGCTTTCATAAATCTTAATTCATGATGTAATTGTGGGGATAATTGTAAGATGGAATCGAATGTCCCAAAATTAATAATGTCCCTTTTAGTAATTTTATTTGAGATTATTATTGTAATAAAAAAATTAAAAATTAAGAAGTTCAAAATAATTTATGAGTGCTCATAATAACACTCATATTAAATTATGACACTTTTTATTTTTTTAATTATGATTTAAAAAAACATAAAACTGTATCATTTTTTGATACTTAAGGGATATCTAATGCCATACTGTTTCCCGTTAACCATTTATCTGATTGAACCGGTTAACCACAGATGGACAGTGATTACCGGTTCGGTTCTGATAACTCTCCTCTGTGAAGCCTATAACCAAACAAGCGTGACTGCCTCAACCGTTGGATCCGAAACCCTAGGGTTTATGCTCTGGGTTTTCCTTCTCTCTCTTTCTATCTCTCTCACTACTCTCTCTCCTCCGCATTCGAATTTCACAGCCGCGGCATTTCGATTCTTTGGCCGCCTCACAATCGCCCCGACTCTTCAACTATCCAACTTCTTCCACGACTCTCAAATCTCAACTTCTTTTGCTTCCTTTTAAACAATACCAAATCAAACTCTTATCAATCTGAAATGCTGTTGTTGATTCTTTCATGTTTCTACAACATTGATTCGATTAGGGCTGGTGGGTAGTTTCTCAATCTTAGAGAAATCCCAGAACATGCTCGCTCTGCGCCAAATTCGCAAATTTGGTACCGCAACCCATGCTATAGCTACTTCCATTGTATCTACTGACACCACCACCAATACTATTGTTCCGAATCGTATTCAAAAGCCCATTACTTTGGATGAACCAGCACTAGTCAAGTTAAAGGCTGAGAGAAACCCAGAAAAGCTATTCCATTTGTTCCAATCCAATGCCCACAATCGTCTTGTGATCGAAAACCGGTTTGCTTTTGAGGATACGGTTTCGCGGTTAGCTGGGGCTGGCAGATTGGATTACATTGAGAAATTACTTGAGCAACAGAAGGCTCTGCCACAAGGTCGGCGCGAAGGTTTTATTGTTAGGATTATAATGTTGTATGGAAAAGCTGGAATGATTAAGCATGCTGTTGATACTTTCTATAATATGCATTTGTATGATTGTCGCAGGACGGTTAAATCTTTTAATGCTGCATTGAAGGTTTTGACACAAACCCGCGATTTAGCAGTGATTGAATCGTTTCTCATGGAGATTCCGTTAAAGTTTGGCATTGAGATAGATATATTTTCTGTTAATATTGTTATTAAGGCATTTTGTGAAATGGGTATATTGAATAAAGCTTATTTGATTATGGTAGAGATGGAAAAGTTGGGAATAAGACCTGATGTGTATACTTACACTACGCTTTTATCAGCATTTTATAAGAATGGTCAGTCTGAGATTGGCAATGGATTGTGGAATCTTATGGTGCTTAAGGGTTGTTTACCTAACCTTGCAACCTTCAATGTAAGGATTCAATTCTTGGTCAGCAGGGGTCGATCGTGGCAAGCTAACAGTTTGATGGGTATGATGAGGTATCTTAGGATAGCTCCTGATGTGGTTACATATAATTTGGTGATCAAAGGCTTTTGCCAAGCTGGATATCTTGAAATGGCCCAAAGGGTTTACTCTGCTTTACATCATGAGGGTCACAAACCCAATTTGAAAATTTACCAGACGTTGATTCATTATCTGTGTAAAGGAGGCGAGTTTGACTTGGCATACACGATGTGTAAAGATAGCATGAGAAATAATTGGTTTCCGAATGTGGATACCATCTGTAAGCTAATTGAAGGCCTGCGGAAGAATGGGGAGCTTGGAAATGCTAGATTTATCATGACATTGGCTAAAAAAAGGGTACCCCCTTTGACTGCAGACCAGTTGGGTGCCTTGAAATCTATACTGTCAAGGGGTTGAATTGGAATGGACTGAAAGGATTAAGGATTTTACAGGAGCTGGTGTTCGTCTTACTAATTCGTTTGTAGATTTGTGGAACTAATTGGATATGCATTTTTTGATGGAGAACCATCCAAATGAAGACATAAATATTTTGCTCCAATAAATTTGACTGCAGTCAGTTAACTCCTCTTCATTAGTTGAGAGTACTAAATGAACATTAGTCGTGAATGTTCTTGTAAGTTATTCTCCAGTCTCTCTCTCTACCCACCCATCGAACATACGCACGCACATGCTCTTGCACATCTGTTTTTTCATATGGATATCTATTAATTAACCTAAGTGGCATGGATGATTCTGTGGAAGAGCCATGTTTGTATCTTGTAAACACTTCTTGGACACTCTTGCACACTTTTGACACTTTCTGATTGTGTCCATAGTAAGATGAATCCTAGATACTTTACAGACTTTGTACACTTGGCACTTTATAGAACTGTCCCAAATTCTTTGAGATAGGATAATCACACCGTAGCATGTGCAATTATGTTTATGAAAGACCAAAGACATCTGACATTAGTACATATGACCGCTCAAAATTCAAACATAGATTGAGCATTTTTCAAAAGGAAAAGAATATAATTGTCATGAAAAAAATTTGACAAGACATGAGGACAAATTTACATGATGTCATTAGCTACTGTGTCTTTTGTATTTACTGTATTATGTAGTTCCTGTTTAAATTTTTCAAAAATTAATCAAAACTATACGTGCCCTATGAACTTAGCGAAAGGATATATATACACATATGTATGTATCATATAAAAAAAACATGTTTAGATGTTGTTGTATCCTTGCCATGCCAATGCCGTACTATTTAGAATTTAGTGTCGTTTGTGTGTAGTTGTCATGTACATGTTTTCTGTTCTTCTTTGAAAACTTACTTTGCATCCTCAGACTTCTTGGACATGATTTCATATTCTGAATTTAGTTAGATGGGAATGTGTTTCTGAGATTTTTCATTTCTCCCCCCCCCCCTTCCCAGTTGCGGCGGTGAAGAACAGAATGGTGAAAGGGAAAGTAGCCAATTCCTCACTTCTGGATATCACTGAACTGTTGCATTTGGTAATATTTTCTTACTGTTTGATCGTTGTTATTTAGGTTAGTGCGTAACTAATTTTGTCTATACATATATCTGTGGTTGCGAAATGAAGTTTTAAACTTGGCTTGCAGATTTGTCGTAGATAAATTCAATAAGGATGACCCGATTTCTGTTCCCAAACTGGCATTTTAGAATGGGAGTTCATAAATGTGATTCATTGATGTTATTGACTTTTATTTTTTATTTTTTTTCTCTTTGGAGGACTCCTTGTTGTCCCATTTATCATGTACTTTTCTTCTTCTGTAATAAAATTTATTTTGTTGGCAATCAAAAAAAAATTATTTTGATTCATTGATGTTTAATACATACCCGCCATAAGATCAAACATAATGTGTCATGAGTATATTCTCATGAACATCAAGGTAGTGCATGAGTCTACTGGACCATTTATATATATTCAATTCAATTTTTAGGTTAGCTTGGTATAGCTGAATTAAGGTGAGGCTTGGTGCTATGTTTCTTCATTCTCCATTCTGTCTGTACTTATTGTCTCTTGACTACATTTCTGTAGTTCTTCAGCTTGCACATTTGATATTCAGAAGTGGGCACCAAATTTTTGTTCAGCTGAATAGATGTTAATTGCTACTTCCTTTTGGAGAAGAAAATATTATTTCTTCAGGGTTGAAGCAGGCACAGGAGGTAGTATCACCCTTCTACTTTCTGCTTTTGAAAAATGTTCCATTTATCTGATATTTTTTCTACATTTACTGCCAAAGTGTGTAGCTTTTTGAATATGATTGCTCCATCTTGTTTGCAACAGATAGCTACATGGATGATGATTCAATATGGGTGGGGGCCTGATAACAGTCCAACAATTTACCACCATGGTAATGCGGTATGTACCTTGCTCTAAATCCTGTAGTTGTCTTTGTTGCTATTCTAGTTCATGTTGTTGTTCTTGCGTCAAAAAACATGGATTTTGCACCTGGATTAGTGCATCAAAACAGTATATGTATATGGTATGGTGCTGTTAGACTTCTCTCAGTGGAAAATTTTCTGTATCTAAGGATTTGATGCACAGATTGGGATAAGTTTTGGTCTAAGGGTGAGTATTACCTTATCACAAAGTTGGACCACAATGATTTTAACAAGCATTTAAGTTTCCTTAGGGTATTCTTTTGATGTGATTGATTTGCTTCATGGATCTATTGTTATTTGCTGGACAAGTTAAATGTTTTTGTTCACTGGCACAGGTGACAGCTTTGAGTATGGGGAACAACGAGTATTGTGGAGATTGCTTGAGTTTGAATCTTGACAGAAATGGTACAGCCGTATAGGTTAGTTGTACATGTATGTTCATTTGAGCTATTAGCAGATTTCTGCTTGAATGATATTGTTATTCTACATATCTCCCAGTTTCTTTTGGAGTAACCCTTTATTGAATTGAAAATTAGACAAACGGATTTTTATTGTGAAAGGGACAAGTCACCCAGTCTTGGTTTTACCATGGCAGTTTTCAAGATTGTTAGGATATTGTGAAATGTGATTTGACAAGTGTTTTTGTTAAATATTTGGGAAATTGTTTTGTAAATTCATGTACAAATGTTACTTTCATTTGTTTGATCCCTAAAAAGGAAAATCCATTAAAAATTATTAGTCAGGTTACTTAATTGTATAATATTTTGGCCAAAGTTTTGTCAAGGAGATTGAGACTAGTTTTGGGTGATACTATGTCCATGATGCAGTGGGCTTTTATTGGGGGCTGACAGATCTTAGATGTGGTATTAGTAGCAAATCAAGTTGTGGACTATAGATTTCAAAGCTTATGGTCATGTGGAGTGGGGTTTCTTTTTGTTTTGGACAAGAAAGGTTTTGGGGAGAAATGAAGGAGATGGATAATGGGTTGACTTTTAAATTGTCAATGGTAAGATTGGGAAGATTTTTAGAGCATCAAGGATTCTTAGGCAAAGATATCCTTTGTTCCCCTTTCTTTTCACATTAGTGGTTAATGTTTTGGGTAGGATGGTGGATAGGGTTAAGCTATGAAGCACGGATACAGACACAAATACGACGATTTCAAAAAAATAGGGACACGAACACGGCGGGGGATACATAATTTTTTTATTTTTTTAAAAATATATCTGTTACATATTTGCTATGTAGATTAATTTTATATTACCAAACAATCAAAATTAATATTAATTTGTATAAAGATCGTTACATTTAAACATTATGAACATATTTTCAATTTATTATAAACATTATATAAAGAAAAAATTAAATTAAAATGTACAATATATATCTAATCATAAAATAAATAAAGAAGAAAGAAGACAAAGAGAATAGATATAATATATTTTAACTAAAATATACAATATCTATATATATAAATATAAATATTTGATCAACTTAGTAGAGAGGAGAGAGAAATGAGATAGACTAGAGAGAGAGAAGACAGAGACCAAAGAGAGGCGAGAGGCGAAACAGAGAGAGGCGAGAGGCAAAACAGAGAGACGAGAGCAGAGAGAGAGACGAGAGAGAAGAGAGACAGAGACGAGAGCTTTACTACTTACTAGGTTGTTCAGTGATGGAGATCGACATCGACTGAGATGGAGTTCAATGGAGATTGAGATGGAGATCAACGGAGGACTTCACTTGATGAACAGGATCCCTTTTCTCTTCTCTCTTTCTTTTCTTCTGATTCTGGATCTTTTCTTCTCTTTCTTCTTCCCGCCATGTCCCGCTGTGTCCCATACCCAAAAAAAAAAAAAAATGGGACACGCCAAATGGCGTGTCCCATACGTGTCCATGCTTCATAGGAGTTAAGGGTGGGGGTTTAGGGGATGGTTTGTTATTTGCAGGGAAGATGTTTGTGTCCTAGGTGTTTTGAAAAGCACACCTAAGCTCTAGCGTAGACAAAAAGTGAGGCAAGGCGAAGCCTTAGCGCCTCATGAATCCTGGGGTGAAGTGACATGGCGAGGAAAGGCTGAGGCACTTGAGGGGGCTTGTTTCAATCTTAAGTGTGAGGTGTTTGAGGCAGTGGCTTTTTCCTTTAACCAATGATTTGATTTCAACCATTTTTTATTTTTTTTGGTAATTAACTTCAGGCGCCTCATTAGTATTCTAAATACCCAAAGACCCAAAAAAAAAAGGCCGATTCATTTCATAACAGAACCCCAAAATCGTAGACCAAGAACTAAACCCCAAAATCGACATCTGGGTCTCCAACGAAAACCAGTTGATGTCAACCCAAGCCAAGTTAACATCTGGCTCTCTCTCTCTCTCCATTGCAAGCAAATTGTGGTAATTATCCTGATCCTTAATAACACACGCTAGAACGAAATAACAAATGATTGCGCAGTTCAAGAAAAAACATTTTGGATTTCTCATTGTTTTGGCTGCAGTTCATATTTCTGAGATATGTCTGGTAATATCCACCTTTAAATTTCAGTAATTGATGCAACTTCTTGCTTGGAAAATTGATATCTCTATCATTGTGGATTCATCAATGCTTTCCAAAGCATGGGAATTTGGTCCACAGAAGTACGTTTTTGGTACTGTCAGTTCCTTTATACACTGCTGCTTTGCTTCCTGGGTGGCTGTGCTTTTTTTCTTTATCTTACCTCTTATTTAGAAGTTGTGTTGGACAATTCTTTGTTCAAATAGCGAGCTAATATCACTAGATTAATCTAGGTATCCTTTTTTATATTATGTGTTTGATACCTCTACATCCCTGGAAAATCAGCAGTGTCTATCATTACAGATGTGTTCGTGCTCCTCAAGATCACATCTGCTCCATTTCGGCACTAAATCAAAGATTTATCTTTTTATGTAGACAAATTGATGATTACTGTTAGATTTGCATAAAAGAAAGAAAAGAAAGAGAAAAAAAGAAGAAGAGAGCACTACTGCTGTATATTATTTCTCAATTCTAAACATATTAGGGTTACACATACATATAATAAAAGACTAAATGAACAAATGACATAACTACCCTTACACACTAATACTTAACACTCCCCTCAAGTTGGTGCAAAGATATCTCTCATGCCCAACTTGCAGTAAATAGGATGGAAAACCTTACTACTAAGACCCTTACTAAAGCCATCAGCCAATTGATCTGCAGACTTCACAAAAGGCATTCATATGAAACTCTTATTCAATTTCTCCTTGATGAAATGTCTGTCGATCTCAATAGGCTTTGTTCTATCATGCATAACAAGATTGTGAGCAATACTAATGGCAGCTTTGTCGTCACAGTACAGTGCCAATGGTTCACTACAAACAAACCCAATATCATTCAACAAGGATTGGAGCCACATCAATTCACATGTACCATGCGCCATAGCCCTGTATTATGCCTCTGCACTAGATCTGGACACCACTGTTTGTTTCTTACTACGCCATGTGACTGAATTCTCCCCCCCTTCCCCTAATGCACAGTAACTGGAAGTAGATCACCTGTCATCTATAGAACCAGCCCAATCAGCATCTGTGAATGCCTCCAACCTCAAGTGACTATGATTGGAAAATAAAATCTCTTTTCTTGGAGCAGATTTAAGATACCTCAAAATACGATACACTGCATCCAAATGAGGGGCACGAGGCTCATGCATAAATTGATTCACTTTCCCAACCGCATAGGTAATATCTGGACAAGTGTGGGATAAATATATAAGTCTTCCCACAAGTCGCTGATACCTTTCCTTCTCCACAAGATCACCAACACCACTATAAAGATGGTGATTAGCCTCAATTGGTGAATTAACAGGTCAGTAGCCTAACATGCCAGTTTCCTCAAGAAGATCTAAGACATACTTCCACTGAGAAATAAAGATTCCTTTGTCAGATCTAACAACTTCAATCCCAAGAAAGTACCTCAACAAACCAAGGTCTTTAATCTCAAATTCCTTGGCCAACAGCATCTTAAGATGTGTCACTTCTTCCTCATCGTTACCTGTCACAACTATGTCATCCACATATACTATAAGCACAGTTACCTTTTTTGCAGGACGTTTGACAAACATTGTGTGGTCTGCATTGCTTTGCTTATACCCGAACCTCAACATAGCCTTCAGGAATCTATCAAACCAAGCTCGAGGAGACTATTTCAAACCATATAACGCCTTTTTCAACCTACAAACTTTCCCAACTATAAACTGAGATGAGAATCCTGGTGGTATATCCATATATACCTCAACAAATCACCATAGAGAAATGCATTCTTCACATCTCACTGTTGTAAAGGCCATCCCAAATTAGTTGTACATGAGAGAATAGCTCGAATGGAGTTCATCTTTGCCACAAGAGCAAAGGTTTCTTGGTAATCAATTCCATATTTCTAAGTAAATCCCCTGGCCACTAATCGTACTTTGTACCGTTCAATTGTTCTATCTACTTTCTGCTTGATGGTGAACACCCACTTACACCCTACAAGCTTTTTTCTACTAGGAAGAGAAACTAACTCCCCCCAAGTGTTATTCTTGCTTAGAGCTTGCATCTCTTCTACCATTGCTCATTTCCACTTAGGATCATTGATAGCTTCTGTCCAACCCTAGGGAATACATGCAAAAGACAAAGACGAAACAAAAGCACGATATGTAGAAGACAATGAATCATATGACACAAATTTAGAAATAGGGTGTTGAGTACAAGCCCTAACCCCCTTTCTAAGAGATAGGAAAACTCGAATCATTGACAACAGGACTCTTAACTACAGGTAGAGGAATAAACTGAGATGCATTACCTGGAACTGGCATGAGGGATGATGATGGGTTTGGTGGCACAAGGGAAGCTTGCTCTTTCGGACGCCGAGAATAAGTCTTAAGATCAACCATGTCCAAACGACCACTAATGTTAGGCTCCACATCAAGAGAACTATTAGGCTCCCCCTCACCACAAATAATAGTCCGCTGATTAGGAAGGAAAAAAGACAACTCGTGTTGATAGGCCATCTCTTCATCCGCAATCTCATCCATACCACTACTACTCTCCCCCCAGAGGAGATGGCAGAGAAGGAAAGAAGGACACAAATTCACGGAAAGTGACATCCATACTAATATACACTTTGCGAGTGTGAGGATCATAGCATTTGTAACCCTTCCGAGTAGCAGAATAACCAATAAAGACACAACGCACAGCCTTAGGATCGAGTTTTCCACGAGTACAAGGTTGCAAATGAACAAAACAGACACACCCAAACACCCGAGGAGAAAGAGAAGAGGTGGGAACAGGAAGCAGTTGAAGAGGAATCTGGAATTGGAGAACGCTGGAAGGCATACGGTTGATAAGGTAAGTAGCGGTAAGGACAACATAACCCCAAAATAACTTAGGAGCA